TTAAATACTGGATAAACCAAAATTATGATTAACTTTAACACGTTAACACTTTAACACTTATCAGAAAATGACTGATAGAGTTCGGAAGATCATTTTAACGTCAAATGGTAAACAGAAAACTATACTAATTTATACAGTAATGAACGTGTTAATATTTTTCCGTAAAAAAAGAACTCGTAACATTTCATTCTCTCTCATATTTCCTCATGAACTCGTGAAATAATCATTTCAAACGTGTCATTATATCCATATTTCTAAACAGTAAAAAGAATTTCAACCATCACACAGTGGGTAATTTCGTCGAAATCATGGACAAAAGCGCACCAGTTTATTGCTGGCTGTAGAAGATCCACAAAGTGAACTTCATTCACAAATTTTGCAGTTATCTTAGAAATACCATGAGTTCAAAGCAGATAGTTTTACGATGTTATTTATTTTAATAAAAATTGAAAGTATTTTCATTGATTTATCACAGGTTTATTATTAATTTAGTTTAGAATAAAAGATATTAATTTTGTCCACGATTCCGGTGAAATACGTCACTGCGATATACGCAGTTCTTGAAATTCCTGGCTCAAGTCGTCCATGGCGACGAAAAAAAGAACAACAAAAAATAATCGCAAGAAATTGGTAGGCGTGGAATTAGGACATCGTTAAAACGCGAAATGGCGGCTAACAATTTTTCACGGTGGCCTGGTCAAGAGGAGACCCTTGACTTAGAAACAGACCGGCAAATAAAACGCGATGCCCGTTAACTACTTCCAGGTTATTAAAAAGTTCGACGACGTTGAGTTAAGCGGCAAGTATTTCAGACGTGTTCGACGGAAATTACTTTCATAATGGATGTATTGAAGCGTCATTTAATTACAACATGCTTTTGAAGCGTTGAACGTCCGCGCGAGATAAGATGCAAGTCTTTCGCCCGATTATGAAATTCTCGGCTGTTTTACATTTTTGAAACCTGCGTTGAATTACATGAGAGATTCGGAGTAGATAGAATCAGTAGACAGGTATTCTTACACAAAACTACGTATTTGAATATAGGAGTGTTCACACTATGTCAATTATAGTAGCCAGTAGTCAGGTAATCAAATTTTTGCGTTTCTTGCTTTTCATGTACTAGGTTTGTTTTTAGAAAAAGAAGGCAAGAAAGGAAAGAAACCATTTTCATTTTCCAACGATAGACCTAGTACAGACTAAGTAAGAAAAACCAAAACTTGACTACCTACTGGTAAGTCTACTATCAACAGTTAATGGCATAGTGTAGACTGTCTTTAACCCCGTGGGTACTGTGGGCGCCTATAGGCGCTTAGAAATTTTGTGTTTGTATTACTGAGAGCACCTATAGGCGCCCACTTTTATACCAACAGAGTTTTTTCCTAGCGATTAAAAAGTTTTTATAAAAAAAAGTTATGACGGCGTGTTATAACATTTGTCATTTGTATTATCCTTTGTACATAAAGGAAGGATAAAAAAACTGTATAGAAAGGCTTTAGCTTTGCTTTTTATAAATAAGAATATCTGACTTTTTATTATAATAAATAAGACCATAATCACATTTCTCAGAAAAAATCACCGTAGCGAAAGAGTTAAGGGATCATTCATATTATGTTAATAAGCGACGTCAGTAGCGTTGTCAGTAGATGTATAGTCGAATTTTTGCGTCTCTTATTTTGCGTGTACGAGGTCTTTCGTTAAGAAAAATAAAGTAAGAAAGGATACAAACAATTTCCTTTCTAAAATTCCTCAAATTCTCGCATCTTCAAATTCCTAAATTCCTAAATCTCTACATCACCAAATCAATACACCTCCTCATTCCTAGATTCGCAAACTTTCTACAATCCCTCTACAATCTAAATTTGCAAACTTGTAGACTTCACGTTGCTAACTTCTGAAATTTCTATATTTCCAAATACTTACATCTCCAAATGCATACGTCTTCAAATCCCTACGTCCCTAAATTCCAAAATCCCCAAATTTCTGCATCGCCAAATCCTTACACCTCCTAATACCAAAACTCTGGAATTTCTAAATTCCCAAACTCCTATATTTTAAATTTCCACATTCCCAGATCTCTAGATCCCCACATCGCTAAATTTCACAAATTTCTAGGTTCCCAAATTAAATTCTAGAATGTCTACATCCCTTAATGCCTAGATTCCCAAATTCCAAAATCCTGAAATCCTAAAATCCTTACACTCCCAAATTGCTAAATTGTCAAATCGGCGAATTACCAAATTTTTAAATCCCCGAATTCTTAGATTTCCACACTTCCAAATTCTAGAATTCTCAGAAATCCCTAAAAGAAACCGGTTTCTAACCTTTCTTCCCTCCTTTTTCCAGCGATAGACCTGGTACAGGCAAAGCAACAAACGCAGATGTTCGACTACTTACTGGCAAGGTTATTGACGCCAGTCAATAATTAAGTATTTTTTTGAACGACTCGTAAATTAATTACGGGATCATTCATATTATGTTAATAAGCGACGTCAGTAGCGTTGTCAGTAGATGTATAGTCGAATTTTTGCGTCTCTTATTTTGCGTGTACGAGGTCTTTCGTTAAGAAAAATAAAGTAAGAAAGGATACAAACAATTTCCTTTCTAAAATTCCTCAAATTCTCGCATCTTCAAATTCCTAAATTCCTAAATCTCTACATCACCAAATCAATACACCTCCTCATTCCTAGATTCGCAAACTTTCTACAATCCCTCTACAATCTAAATTTGCAAACTTGTAGACTTCACGTTGCTAACTTCTGAAATTTCTATATTTCCAAATACTTACATCTCCAAATGCATACGTCTTCAAATCCCTACGTCCCTAAATTCCAAAATCCCCAAATTTCTGCATCGCCAAATCCTTACACCTCCTAATACCAAAACTCTGGAATTTCTAAATTCCCAAACTCCTATATTTTAAATTTCCACATTCCCAGATCTCTAGATCCCCACATCGCTAAATTTCACAAATTTCTAGGTTCCCAAATTAAATTCTAGAATGTCTACATCCCTTAATGCCTAGATTCCCAAATTCCAAAATCCTGAAATCCTAAAATCCTTACACTCCCAAATTGCTAAATTGTCAAATCGGCGAATTACCAAATTTTTAAATCCCCGAATTCTTAGATTTCCACACTTCCAAATTCTAGAATTCTCAGAAATCCCTAAAAGAAACCGGTTTCTAACCTTTCTTCCCTCCTTTTTCCAGCGATAGACCTGGTACAGGCAAAGCAACAAACGCAGATGTTCGACTACTTACTGGCAAGGTTATTGACGCCAGTCAATAATTAAGTATTTTTTTGAACGACTCGTAAATTAATTACTTAGAAGTTAAATTATGATTCATTCTGCATCCTGATAATCAGTGACCAAAATTTGATGCAGTTATATTTTCTCAAAATGTCACATCAAAATACCATTAACTTTGATTGTAAATATTCTGATTAAAATCTGTAACGTCCCTGCTACTAGACCCAGGTATTTACAGCACTTATGAAGCAAAGAGCGGCTTTTGCCTATTAAGCGACTCGTTTTTACTATAACTAATTCTAAAAGAATGTGGGATCGTGGTGGCGTGTGGTTAAAGAGTGAAATCTACAGGTTAATACCTTTCATTAATTAGGTTTAATCAAGTAATGATGAGAAAGAGAGTTATTGTTCCGTGGAGCTATAAATATATAGTTTTAACATGAAATACAGTCCACTCATGTTTTTTATTTATTTAATCTCTGTAATTGTTGTCTTGTTCGTCGTATGTATAAATTGATACTCGCAATTCTGAGCTGACTTGCACCATCTCTGAATCTCTGTCCCGTGTCTTCACCAAACCTCCTGTGGTGCTTTCTGCGAAGTCAGAGATGAGACCTATCAAGAGATCTTCTCATTAAGCATACTTCAAGGACGTGGGTTCCCAATGTATCGGGCTTGAACCATATACTAGTTACCACGTGCACCACAGCAGCAGGATTTATGGCGGGCATACAATGGAAGTGTCTACGGCTGATCAAAACTAATGTCATATCTTTTCAAAGGTCAAACAACCACTTGATTGGTTACCTTTGATGACATTCATGCTAGACCAACCCAACTTCCGGAACTTTGATGACATTCATGCTAGACCAACTTCCGGAAGCTCAATCGCTAATCAGATTGGACAGGACAGAGAAATGAATCAGTTTACAAGAAACTAATAAGAGAACAAGTTCAGTTCAGACAATTGTGCATATTACTATTGCAATCTATAGCGAACAGACACATTAAGAGTGAAAAGGTTTTCAAAATGACGATCACTTGCATTTCGTCTAGCGATCAGAGCAGTTTCATTTATCAATCGAGTTCCAGTTTTTCATTTCAAGCATTATTTCATTTTTAAAAAAAGGAAAGGCATTTTCGGCTCTTGAAACATCCTTACTTCCGTAAAAGGAGTAAGGAACGCGATTAGTGCAAAGATTAATAAACGAACAAAAAATCGCGTAAAAGAACATTAAAACGAACAAAAAATCGCGAACAAAAAATCGCGTAAAAGAACATTGGTCCTTCGAGCCGGATTGTGAAGTGAAGCACAAACACCAACTTCAGTGTATAATTAACAATTCAGGCAGCTCGAAATCTGCAACCAGCTTCAAGGTTGAGTGACATTGATCAACTTCATTGACATCATAGAAATCAAGGGAAAGGTCCCGTCCACTGGAAGTGTTTATATCAATATTTAAACATTCAATTTCGAAATTTGGAGCTTCCTACGATTTGGTCGATTACTAAAAAAGACAATATCCATTATAAGGTAGGATCAATCCTTTTTAATATTATTCTCAATTACCATTACAATGCCGAACACGTCCACAAATTCCAATCAATCTCACAATCAATCTGCAACCGGCGGTTTGACCATTAGCACCTTGCGACGCAAACGCGGCCACATCATTGGTCAAATTTCTTCTTTGGCAACTTTTTTAGAATATTTCGAGGAATCAAATTCAAATGATACATATTTATTACGAATGCACATCAATGGATTGAACGAGGTTTGGAAAAAATTCGACGACTTACAATTTAGTATTGAGGAACTGGATGAATCCGAAGGGGCGAGACGATTTGAAATTCAAAATAATTATTACGCGGTGGTGGCTAGGGCCAACCGACTACTACAAAACACCCAAACACCGGTGTCTCCCACAACACGTATTAACCCTTCTCCTGCGTCGACGGTACCTGCTCCAATGGCCATTAAATTGCCCGAAATGCGGCTACCTACCTTTGACGGATCAATCGAAGAATGGTCTTCTTTCTATGATATTTTTTCAGCAATGATTGGCCGTAACGAAGACTTAACCCCGGTCCAAAAACTACAATATCTGCGATCAACTTTAATCGGCAAGGCCGCCGCTTGTATACAATCACTAAGTACGACTGATGCTAACTATAACGATGCCATAGAAATATTAAAAGAAAAATTCGATTGCCCACGTCGAATAATTTTAGATCATTGCGATGCACTGCGTAATATCCCAAAATTGTCAAAAGATACACCGGAGGCATTAAATAATTTGATAGATATTATCACCCAACACCTTCGGGCGTTGAAAAATTTAGGTGAGAATGTAACATCATGGAATAGTATCCTGCTATCAATAATACTATCGAAATTGAATAATGATACCATTTGGCATTGGGAATTAACCCTTAAAGACAAAAGGAAAATACCAGAATACACAGAGCTTCTTCAATTTTTGGAAAGGCGAGCAAGCTGCGCGCTTCCATCATATTCAAAATCCACCGTATCCACAGGACGAAACGAAACAAAGGATCATGATGTTACCAAATTAAACAATAAACGATCCTCAAGAGGTTATGCATTTCTAGTATCAAAATCTAATCGAAATCACCCGTATAAAAATGTATCAACTAATAAACCTCAAACAGCAGGTTCAATCCAACGTTGCCCTATCTGCAAGCAATGTCATGTGATCTGGATGTGTGAACAATTTAATAGCTTATCAGTTCAGGATAGGAAAATGGCTGTGGAAAAAGAATCGTTATGCTTTAATTGTTTAAGGGAAGGGCATACTGTGAATTCTTGCAAAAAAGGAAATTGTCGAATTTGCCATAAACGTCACAATACATTATTGTATTTATCAACAAATTCTACAAATTCACCGTCTCAGCGTTCAGCAGATTCGCATCATACCACGAATCACCAGAAACCGACAAATTGACTATCATTGGATACTCCAAGGGAAACCAAATTTCATCGAGCATTTACCATTAATACTATCACTCATGACCTGTTAGTAACTGCACAGGTGTACGTGTCAGATAAATATCATCGGCCGGTCCTTTGTCGAACGCTTATTGACACTTGTGCTTCTATAAATTTTATGAGTGAGCATCTCGCTAGAAAATTAGGCATACCATTAAGTAAATGCTCCATTCCCATTGGAGTTCTCAATACATTATCTACAATAGCAAAACACACGATTACAACCACTTTATCCTCAACAATTAACAATTACAAACGCACATTAACATTTTTAACAATCCCAAACATTGCTTCAGCCATTCCAGATCAGCCCATCGATAGAACACTATTGAATATACCTAATAATATAAAATTGGCGGATCCATCATTTTCAACACCTTCTCCAGTTGATTTATTATTGGGCGCTGGAATAGCACTATCCTTATTATGTATAGGTCAAATAAAATTATCGCCCCCTGACGGACCGGATTTATATTTACAAAAAACACAATTGGGATGGATAATCGGGGGAAGTGCGCCAATCCCACGGTTATCTCAAGGAATGACCTGCCACATGACTTCGCCAATACAGACTGACCTCACTCGGTTCTGGGAATTGGAAGAAGGGCCACAGATCCGACAATTCTCAAAACAAGAACAAGACTGTGAAGAATATTTCAAAAAAACTGTTACGCGAAATTTGGATGGAAGATACATTGTAGCACTCCCATTTAATGAAAAATTGCCACAGCTAGGAGAGTCAAAATCGAAGGCACTGAAACGACTGATGTCATTACAAACGAAACTTCAACGTGACGAACAACTATCACGAGACTACCAAGCAGTCTTACAGGAGTACATCGATTTAGAGCACATGTCAGAAATATCAACCTACAACGAAAACGATTACGGATATTTCCTCCCACACCACGGAGTTACAAAAGTCACCAGCGATACCACAAAATTGAGAGTGGTATTTGACGGTTCCGCTGCAACTACAACAGGCATTTCTCTTAACGACACATTACACGTCGGCCCAAAAATACAAGACGACCTACTACACGTTTTAATTCGATTCCGAAGCCATCGATATGTTTTAACTGGGGATATCGAGAAAATGTATAGACAATTTTTAGTACGGCCTGAAGATAGGAAATATCAACAAATTCTATGGCGAAACTCAAATAACGAATTGAAGGTTTTCGAGCTAAACACAGTGACTTTCGGTTTGTCCGCAGCCCCGTATTTAGCCATCCGTTGTCTAGCCCAGTTAGCTCAAGATGAAGGACAACGATTTCCTCAAGCCGCACACATCTTAACCCGGGATTTTTATGCAGACGATCTTTTGACTGGAACAACAACGATCGACGAGGCGTTGATACTGCGAGACCAACGAATACAACTCTTAAAAAGGGCAGGCTTAAATATCCAACAATGGGCATCCAACCATAATTCATTATTGACAAATCTTCCAGAACAGGCGATAAACAAACGGCTACATCTGGGCGAATCTTCAACCATTAAAACGTTAGGAATATTTTGGGACTCATCTGATGATGCAATTAGATATACCATTGCAAACTGTTCTTCAACTAACCTTGTCACAAAACGGAACAGTTATAATTAACAATTTCTTCAGCGAATATAAAAATGTATGTATGACTGAATTCTATAAGCAAATTGGAGTATAATAGACTTGTTGTTGTCGCAAATCGCAGAACGGTAGCTAACTACTTCAATTACGCGGTTTCATAATCATATACGCAACGCAAGAAAACAACGCAATTTAATAATGGATCTAGATCCTAACAAAACTGACAGAACAATATTTGGTTAATTACAAAAACTCTAAAATTCGTATTAGACATAGAACAGTTACTCCTTGTTTGACTCTAGACTAATTAGTTTCATGGCCCATTTTGTCAGAGCACAAATCGGCACCCAAAACTTGATCGCTTAATAAGGGAGCCTGCGTTAGTTGGCTACTAGAACTACTCAATGATGCAAGAATCAAGTGACCGATTTGCAACCCTGTTACCAACAGGGTTGCAAATAAAAATAACTCGACTTTAATTATTTATTGAAGTTACCGAAACGCCTCCCAAAAGACACGGGCTTCAGAGACCAAGCCGCTCAATAATGGGGAGCCTGCTACTAAACTACCCAGAGCGAACTCCGAGAATCTGACGACGAATTAGTAACTTAGAAAAATAAGAAATGTGTATGAGTGACTGGAGAGCTCTCGTTTGATGTCCTAGTCCTTTCTGGGGCTGAGCATAGCACTCTCCTTACGGAGTTTCAGATACAAGACCGTTTTAACCGGGCGCTTGCGTTAGCTGGCTACTAGAACTACCCAACGGTCAAGTATCCAAATGGCTGATACCCGCTGTCCAGTCAAAACTAAAAATCTTGTAGGCTCTTACCAGTTAAAATTGCTCCAGTTCGTCGCTTCGTAAGAGGTCCAGCACGTAGTACGTCAAAGATTGTTCTGCTCTCGCAGTCTCTCCTGCACGCCCTTTTATACCCAGAGAATCATGGGTTTTTCCCGCTCTAAAAGTATTATTATTTTATTACGCTTTATTTAGTGGCAAATATATATTAGTTTGATTAATAAAAATACGCTTTAATTTATTATTAATTAGTTTTTCACAAGTTTTCCTGTTAAATCGCAGTGTTAATGATTTTTAGATACGCGAATTGTAAGTGTTTCAATAGAAGAAGTAATTAATTACAAACAATACATAAAATAATAGCTAAAAATATAATGCAATTTATAAGAGGTTAATAATTAATAATATATATAATATAAATATTTAAATGATAATTTATAATAACTTTGTTTCGAAGTATATCTGCTGTCTCTTTCTAACGTACACACGTGCCATCGATCGGTGATCTATTCTAACAATGTTGCACTCGTGATCTACCCCTGACTATTAGCGCGCGAATTTTTATGGTGCAGTCGGTAATTTGCGGTCGGTAATACAATAGAAAAAGATATACGCTTTAGCATGTTTCTTTATTTATCGACAGGATCCGTTTAATTTTCCCGGGGACGTTACATATCTGTGAACAATGTACACGCAATGCACGAATTATACCTTGAATTAATATTCAAGCTCTTTGGATCAAAAACGTTATTGAAAAGTTAATATATTACATTTTTAATTAATTGTAGCTAATTCTGAATCATAAAATCGTATCAATCTTTTTGCGTTAAAGAATGCTGATATGTAACAATCTAATGTAATTTATCGAATACTTGTTTTCTCATAAATATGACAATATGGTTTTCTTCACGGGTTGATGTTTCATTTCATCTGAAATTGTAAATAACGCTGTTTCGCTGCTTTCATTAAACACGAGAGAAATATTTTATTCGAAATTTTCATTAAAATTCGCAGGCTCATTTCACTTTCCATTTGAAGCAAAAAATTAATAAGTACCCGTTTGCATAAAGTTGCGAACTCGCATATCGTTTTACGGGTGAAGCTCACTACTTTCGGTGCTTTGACTTAAAGCGTAATTTTATCGTTCGTATGTTTAGATATTGTTCGAGAGTATAATTTTCTATTTCGTATGAACGGATCCTTCCTATGATAACTTGCACTGAAATACTGAAATATTTAATCAGAAAATAAGTTTTTTCATTCGAGAAATTCAAACGGTGAAATTAGCTAAAGTTCTTTAATTTACGAATTGTTCTCCGGTAAAGTTGAATACTTCGGTTAAATACGTTTAATATTTAACTTTATGTATTTAAATATATTACCTATTGTAATTTCTCTGTATACAGGGTGATTCGAGCGAATGCCGCGATTAATTAGTGATTGGATAATAACTTCGTTACTAAAGTCGATACAGAAAAATATCAAAAGTAAGAGATGAATAATATAAAAGGTACTATATTCATGGAACCAATATTTTTGGAAGAAGTGACGCATTCAGCAATTGCATTGTTTTTTTAAATGGAATTTTCTGAATTTACATAGTTAGATTTCTGTTGACATTTTACATAAAAAAGTATTCAGACACAATAATAAAACAGTTATTAGTTATGGAGATATTGAAAAATTTGTAAAATAAGATTTTGCATTCTTTGAGTCCATAAATAAGTAAACTTATAAATACTGCTTATAATAAAGCAATTTAAATACCAAAATAAATTTACACAATTTATTTCTACTTGTATAATACCAAATTTTATAGTATGCTGCAGCAACTAAATGTTGCATAAAATTTAATTTTGCCTGGCAATATGTTTTTGATAACAAAATTTACAAAACTCAATATAATCACGAAAACATAGCAATTTTGTGTACGAAAAATACTACGTTATGAATATAAAACACATGGTACTATTACATCATGAAATTTTGTACTTTTTCTTTATAATAGACCAGTCTAGTGTTTCCAAGAACGTGTAAAACATGTAAACACAGCGTTTTACATGTAAATAGTTGTGTATCCGCGCAGCTCAGGATATTAATTCTGGTAAAAAAATTGCTGGAGGCAATACACACTAAAAAATAAAAATTGCAGTCTACAATCGGTTTACAAATTTAATCCTTGTTCGGTTAGGGTAAGTTCAATTTTATACAAACCTTTTGTTTTCAAATAGCCAAAATATTTCTGAAAAACTTGCGCCATTATTAGTCTCCTAAATAGATTATCCAGATAAGAATTGAAAGGAATTTTCAATAATATAAATTTAACCCTAATTCGGTTGGGATAAGTTCAATTTTAAACAAACCTTAAATTTATTTTTAAATAGACTAAATGTTCCTGAAAAACTCAAGCCAATCTTGAATAATAGAATTGTCGCTGCAGAATCCACAAAATGAAGTCGATCAAGACTTAAACAGGAACACGACGAATAAATGATAACATAACCGAGTTAAAAGGAAATTGCAGCGAAGAAGAATCGCGAAACTTTTCTCGGCGATAAATTGATTTGCCGATTTTCCATGCGGAACGCCGATACAAGACTGGTCCGTTTCAAATAATCCGAAACTCAAACAATGTCGGTACATATTTTCTTATGGTAATTCCACGTTCCTTCACGTTATTTCTCTTTCTCGATCTGGAAGTCAGTTTCCCGTGTCGGTTCTTAGTCTTTTCGCGAAGAGCCTTGCGAGTATACTCGTAACGATCTTCTTTTTTCTTCTCCGTTAACGAAGGAAGATGAAAAAGTAATTTTCTTTCACGACACAAAAGAAATTTTACATTAACACATTCGCCAGAGCTCTCGGGGATCTTCGTCTCCTTTCAGCACCGATTCCGCTCGGAAATATCCATCCTTTTTTCTTTTTGAGGCGCACCGAGAACACCTCGTGAAAATTCTTTCCCTTTATTCATCGCATACTGATGATTCATTCTTACCGATACCATAATCTCGGCTTCCATTTTCCAGCCTTCCATCCTGCGTCAGTTCGCCATCGAGTACACCGCTGTTACTTTGACGGCTCGGATAAATGTAATCAAACCGGAAACAGACGGTTGTTAGCAGTTCTTCTTACAAATTAACATTCCTTAAATCGTTGGAAAATTCTCCGCGGAATTTGCAATTCATTTGCTCATTCAACGTTCCCTTCTGTAACGTTTACGCCAAAAGGGAGATAGTTCGCGTAAAACAATGTCGAAAATGTCGTGCCTGATTTTCTTTTACAGATTTTCACGAAAATCAATCTACAATTTTCGCTGAATATTCATGTGGTACACAGTTTATTTTAGATTTTAAAAAGCTACAAGTGTATTTTTATAAGGACTTTAAACGATCGATATTGGAGAGATAATATAATGGTCATGCGTTTTTGGGAATTCGGGATTGGAATATTTGAAAGTTTGGGAAATATGGATTTTCGGGTGTTTTATGATTTGGTAGTTATGGATTTTCAGGTGTTTTATGATTTGGCAGTTATGGATTTTTGGGAGTTTTACAATTTCATAATTATGAATTTTTAGGGGTTTTACGATTTCGTAATTAAGGGTTTTCGAGTATTCTACGACTTAGTAATTATGGATATTCGGGTGTTTTATGATTACGTAATTATGAAGATTCCTATATTTTACGATTAGATAATTATGGACTTTCGACAATTTCACGGTTTCGTGATATTGAATTTTGGAGTGTTTTAAGATTTTATGATTATTATCGATCTTCAGATATTTGATAATTTAAGAATTTAAGGTTGAGGAAACTTATGCGGGAATTTAATCTATATTCAAGAATTTGAAAATGCAGAAAGTGATAAATTTCAAGTTTTAGAATTTACGAACTTTAGGTTTTGAAATTTACTTGGAAATATTTTAACCTACAAATTCGGGAATTAGATAACTTGTATTTTGGAAATTTGGGAAGTTAGAAATTTCAGAATTTCCAGAATTTCACCCTGGAAATCTGAAAATTTAGGAATTCAGAAATTTCGAAATTAGCATATTCGAAAATTTGGAAATTTAGAAATTTCAGAATTATCATAATTTTACCCTGCAAATCTGATAATTTGGGAATTCAGAAATTTAGAAATTAGCATATTTGAGAATTTAGGAATTTAGAAAATAACTAAATTGGAAATCTGAGAATTTAGTATATTCATAAATTTCGAGATCAACCTATTCCAAAATTTG